TTTACTTTTTTTTTTTTTTTTTTTTTTTTTTTTTTGACAGGCAGAGTGGATAGAGAGACAGAGAGAAAGGTCTTCCTTTTGCCATTGGTTCACCCTCCAATGGCCACGGCGGCTGGCGCACCACGCTGAACCGAAGGCAGGAGCCAGGTGCTTCTCCTGGTCTCCCATGGGGTGCAGGGCCCAAGTACTTGGGCCATCCTCCACTGCCGTCCCGGGCCACAGCAGAGAGCTGGCCTGGAAGAGGGGCAACCGGGACAGAATCCAGCGCCCCGACCGGGACTAGAACCCGGTGTGCCGGCGCCGCAAGGTGGAGGATTAGCCTATTGAGCCACGGCGCCGGCCACTTTTTTTTTTTTTTTTAAGATATATTTATTTATTTATTTGAAACTCAGAGTTACATAGAGAGAGGAGAGGAAGGGGGTGGGGTCTTCCATCTGCTGATTCACTCCCCAGTTGGCCACTTCAGGCCTGGGTGTTAACCTGCTGCGCCACAGCAAATGGCCCAAACTATTTACTTCTTAATTGACCTAATTTAGAAGTAATAAGACAATTAGTAAACTGGTCTTTTATGAAGCAATAAACTTATTGCTAGTCTATTGAAAATCATTTGCAATACCTACTTTCTATAAGTAGGTAAATAAAACAGGGTTTTCATATATAAAACATTTATATCAAATGAGTTCTATATTCTCAGAATTACAGAATACATTTTAAAGAGCTGATAATTTTACCATTGTAAGCACATCTCTGAATAGGGATTTTTGAATGCAAGAAGTCTTTATGGGAGCCAGCACTGTGGCGCAGCGGGTTAAGCCACAGTTTGCAGTGCCAGCATCCCATGTGGGTGCTGGCTAGAGTCCTGGCTGCTCCACTTCCGATCCAGCTCTCTGCTAATGTGCCTGGGAAAGCCATTGAAGATGGCCCAAGTGCTTGGGCCCCTGCACCCACCTGGGAGCCCCAGAAGTTGTTCCTGGCTCCTGGCTTTGGCTTGGCATAGCCTTGGCCATTGTAGCCATTTGGGGAATGAGCCAGTGGATGGATGATCTCTTTGTCTCCTTCTTTTTCTGCAACTTTTACATTTCAAATAATTAAATAAGTCTTTTTGGTAGTTATTGGCTGATTTCAAACCGTGGTTTTGGCTGATACAAAAAATGCACAATTTCCTTTTCTTGGGGAAAATAACTGAAGCTTATGATCCTTTCATAGTTGGTTCATTAAAGCGTTTTTATAGGAATGTTTTGTTTAGTATGCTATTGGATGTTATAAATGGAGGCCGCATACTTTAAAACTCATTCCCAGGGATAGAGCAATAGAAAAAAATTAAAACCAAAATAAAGAGAGTGCCTATTTGCCTGTTGGATATATCAAATAGTCAAAGTAGTTGACTGGTGGATAAAGTTAGAAATCTGGAGATGTGAAAATTCTGTTCCTTGCTTTGTCACCTATATTACATCTGTATAATAATGACCCTTATAGGTTAGTGTAGTACGTGTTGAATTGTGTTAATTACTTCATTGAAAGTCACATTACTAATAATGAGCCATAGCTTTGTGGCAAG